GGAGTCCATTCTGACCCACAGTGCCCCTAGAGGACAGAGTGGAACTGCCCACAGCGTCTCCAAGGCTGTCAGTCTTCACGGAAGCAAAGCCCAAACCACACCCACTGCCTGGAGTCCATTCCGACCCACAGCGCCCCTAGAGGACAGAGTGGAACTGCACCACAGGGTCTCCAAGGCTGTCAATCTTCATGGAGGCAAAGCCCGAACCACACCCACTGCCTGGAGTCCATTCTGACCCACAGCGCCTCTAGAGGACAGAGTGGAACTGCCCACAGGGTCTCCAAGGCTGTCAGTCTTCACAGAAGCAAAGCCCAAACCACGCCCACTGCCGTGGAGTCCATTCCGACCCACAGCGCCCACATTCTCCTCTGCTCTCTGCCCACTCAGTTTGTCACCCTGAAGCTGCTGATGGTCTGTGCGGACGACACCTGTATTCTCCTGTCACCTGTATTCCGTCCCCAAATCCTCCCCGAGACACCGCCTACGTGGCCGTGTTGAATTAGCCCCAAATTGTCCTAGTGCAGGTGCATCGAGTCTGCCAGTCGGTAACCTCCCAGCTGTGAACCTCCCAGCTGCACCATCCGTGCAGAACCTGTGCCTTGCCTACGCAAGTAGAGGCCACAAGGCGGTGCTCCGATAGATACTTGGGGCCCAGACACCATCCATGTCAGGATGTGTGAAATAAGATGCAACATACCTGTTAATCCCAGCACGACAGGACTTGTCCACCAGTGTCTTCAAAACCTGCCTCTATTCCATCCTTCCCTTTCCGATACTGGGGACTGGAGGGGGGACATACCCGAGTTTACATGTAGTCGACTCTGCCTCATGGCACCACTGTGTGTCAGAGTAGAACCACAGGCCACAGGGTTTTCAGTCACTGATTGTTGCATAGTTTGCCAGGCCTTTCTTGGGAGGCATCTCTGGGTGACCTAGAACTTCCGCCTTTTGGTTAGCAGCAGAGCGTGTTCATCTTTTACACTGCCCAGGAACCCCACAGGTTTATAGATATATTAAAATAACGAAACAAACAAACACATTGCCATGGAGTTGACTTCAACTCACAGTGACCTGACGTGTGTAAGAGTAGAACTGTACGGCATGGAATTTTCAGTGGCTGACTTTTTCAGAAGTACATTCCCAGGCCTTTCTTCCGAGGTAGTTTTAAGAAAAATGTGGTTCCGATGAGACACACCCCAGCACGTAATCTTAGTAAAAGCACTTGCCATCGTGTGAATAGCAGAGAAACATTGTCTTATGAATAGCTTGGAAACACTGACACAGTGCAGGAAGACGAGCCCCTTGGGTTGGAAAGGACTCAAAACAGACTGGGAAAGAGCTGCCTCATTAGAGTAGAACCAACCTTAATGATATGGATAAAGTAAGTCTGTTGGGACCTCTAAGGCATGACTCAAACAGTGGCAAACATCCATTAATAATCGGAACGTGGAATGTACGAAGTTTGAATCTAGGAAAATTGGAAGTTATAAAAAATGAAATGGAACACATAAAGATTGATATCCTAGGCATTAGTGAGCTGCAGTGGACTGGTTTTGGCCATTTTGAATCAGACAACCATATGATCTACTATGCCGGAAATGAGAAATTGAAGAGGAATGGCATGGCGTTCATCATCACAAAAGATGTTTAAGATCTGTCCTGAAGTGCAATGCTGTCAGTGATAGGATAATATCCATACGCCTACAAAGAAGACCAGTTAATACAACTATTAATCAAATTTATGCACCAACCCCCAAAGTAAACGATCAGGAAATTGAAGATTTTTATCAACTTCTGCAGTCTGAAATTGACCGAACATGCAATCAAGGTGTGTTAATTATCAGTGGTGATTAAAATGCAAAAGTTGGAAACAAGGAAGAATCACCGGAAGTTGGAAAATTTGGCCTCGGTGACAGAAATGACGCTGGAGATGGCGTGACAGAATTTTGCAAGATGGATTTATTCATTGCAAATACCTTTTTTCAACAACACAAAAGGTGGCTGTACACGTTGACCTCGCCAGATGGAGTATACAGGAATCACATTAACTACATCTGTGGCAAGAGGCAATGGAAAAGCTCAATGTCTTCAGCCAAAACAAGTCCAGGAGCTGATTGTGGACCAGACCATCAGCTGCTCATATGCAAGTTCAACCTGAAGTTGAGGACAATGGAAACAAGTCCATGAGAGCCAAAACATGATCTGGAATATATCCCTCCTGAATTTAGAGACCATCTAAAGAATAGATATGATGCACAGGACACCAATGACTGAAAACCAGAAGAATTGTGAGATGACATCAAGAACATCATCCATGAAGAAAGCAAGAGGTCATTAAAAATACAAGAAAGAAAGAAAAGACCAAAATGGATGTCAGAAGAGACTCTGAAACTTGCCCTTGAGCAGAGTGGCTAAGGCAAATGGCAGAAATGATGAGATAAAAGAGCTGAACAGAAGATTTCAAAGAGCAGCTCGAGCAGACAAAGCCAATTAGTATAATGAAAAGCGCAACGACCTGGAGTTACAAAACCAAAAGGGAAGAACATGCTCAGCATTTCTCAAGCTGAGAGAAGTGAGGAAATAATTTAAGCCTCGAGTTGCAATACTGAACGATTTTATGGGCAAAATATTGAATGATGCAGGAAGCATCAAAAGAAGATGGAAGGAATACACAGAGTCACTGTACCAAAAAGAACTGGGCAATCTTCATCCATTTCAGGAGGTGACATATGTTCAAGAACCAGTGGTATTGAGGGAAGAGGTTGAAGCTACGCTGAGGGAATTGGCGAAGAACAAGGCTCCAGGAATTGATGGAATACCCACTGAGATGTTTCAACAAACGGATGCCCCGCTGGAGGCACTCTCTCAGTTAGGCCAAGAGATTTGGAAGACAGCTACCTGGCCAACTGACTGGAAGAGATCCATATTTGTGCCCATTCTAAAGAAAGGTGATCCCACAGAATGTGGACGTTATCAAACGATATCATTAATGTTACATGCAAGTGAAATCTTACTGAAGATAATTCAAAAACAGTTGCAGCAGTATTGACAGAGAACTTCCAGAGGTGCAGGCTGGATTCAGAAGAGGACATAGAACGAGGGATATCATTGCTGATGTCAGATGGATCTTGGCTCAAAGTAAAGAATACCAGAGAGATATTTACCTGTGTTTTATTGACTACGCAAAAGCATTTGATTGTGTGGATCATAACAAATTGTGGGTAACGTTGAGAAGAATGGGAATTCCAGAACACTCGATTGTATTCATGAGGAACCTGTACATAGACCAGGAGGCTGTTGTTCAGACAGAAAAAGGGAACACTGCATGGTTTAAAATCAAGAAGGGAGTGTGTCGGGCTTGTATGCTTTCACCATACTTACTCAATCTGTATGGTGAGCAAATAATCCGAGAAGCTGGACTGTATGAAGAAGAACGTGGCATCAGGATTGGAGGAAGAATCAACAACCTGCGATACATTGACGACACAACTTGCTTGCTGAAAGTGAGAATGACTTGAGGCACTTACTGATGAAGATTGAAGAATACAGTCTGCAGTATGGATTACATCTCAATATAAAGAAAATAAAAATCCTCACAACTAGACAAATCGGCACATCATGATAAACGGAGAAAAGATTGAGGTTGGCAAAGACTTCTCATTGCTTGGTTCTACAATTGACTCCAATGGAAGCAGCAGTCAGGATATCAGACGATGTGTAACACCGGGCAAATTGGCTGCAGAAGACCTCTTTCCAGTGCTGACGCGCTAAGATGTCTCCTTGAGGAGTAAGGTGCGCCTGACACAAGCCATAGTATTTTCAATCCCCTCATATGCATGTGAGAGCTGGACAATGAATAAGTAAGGAAGACCGAAGAAGAGTTGATGCTTTTGAGTTGTGGTGCTGGCGGAGAATGCTGAAAGTACCGTGGACTGCTAAAAGAACTAACAGATCTGTCCTGGAGGCCAGAATGCTCCTTGGAAGTGAGAATGGCCAGACTTCGTCTCATCTACTTTGGTCATGTTGTCAGAAGGGACCATTCCCTGGGGAAGGATGTCATGCTTGGTAGGGTAGAGGGTCGACCAAAGAGGGGAAGCCCTCAAAGAGATGGGTTGACATGGTGGCTGTGGCAATGGGCTCAAGTGTAGCAAGAATTGTGGAGCTGGGTCAGGACCGGGCGGTGTTTTGTTCTGCTGTGCATGGGGTCACTGTGAGTTGGAGATGACTCGATGGCACCTGACAACAACATCGTGTGACTCCTGCTGACCCCATGTGTGTCAGTAAAACTGCAGTCCGTAGAGTGTTCAGTGGGCAATTTTCTGGAAGGCAATCGGGCATCTGTTCCAAGGCACTCGTGGGTGACTCGACCCTCCCACCTTTCAGTGAGCAGGTAGGCAGTCAGTCAACCCACGGACTCTTGCTCAGAATCACCAGGAGTGAGGCCCTTGGTGCTTCTAAAGCAGGAATTAAATTGCTCCAGGAGAGATGAGGTCCCCATGCCTGTCAGTTGTTGTCCTGGAGTTCTCACCCCGGCCCCAATCTGACTTCCCAGCAGAGGCACCAGGGAGTCTTTCAGGTGCCACGGCTGAGCCTACAGCAGCCATGGTCCTTCTCAGACATGCGTCATGTCTGAACAAGCACCAGGGAGAACGTCTGAACGTTTGCTAAGCTTGATAGGAATGGGGCTTTTCTTCCAGAAGGATCTCAAGGTACGGAATACACGGACTAGCGCCTTTAGCTTAGTGGCAGACGGCCCTGCATGGAAACTTGTAACGACATGTAAAAACACCCAACTTGTGGCCAGGGAGTCGTGTGCGGCTCACCGCGCCTGTGTGGTGCCAGAGCAGAGCTGCGTTCCCTGGAGCTTCCGTGGCTGCTGTTTCAGAACGGGGTCTCCAGCCCTTCCTCCGAAGGCAACTGGGAGTGGGCTCAAACCTGCAACCTTTGGGTTAGCAGCCAAGTGCATTTGCTGCCTGCGTCACCCAGGGACTCCTAAAATCGACGTACTGTGGAGTCAATGCCGACTCTCGGTGGCCCCTTGTGTGTGAGTGGAATTGAGCTCCCCGGCTGTTTGTAGGCTGCATACCGTAGCATCTGTGCAAGGAAGTCTTTGAATTCCTTCCAGCAGGAGGGGCAGCCGCCACCAAGACTCTGTTCTTGTTAGTGGCCTGGAGTCGAGTCTGACTCATGGCGCACACGACTGGTAGACGACTCAAGGTGTGTCCCAGTGGAACTGTGCTCCGTGGGGTTCACAGGGGCTCATCTTTCACAAGTGGATGGCCAGGCCTTGCTTCCAACTACCTCTAAGTGGACTCGAACCCCTAACCTTTCAGTTAGCAGTCTAGCATGTAACCATTTGCACCCCTCGGGCAGCCCCGCCAAGCGTGTTCCTGCTGCCTTTGCTGACCAGTTGGAAAGAGCCACTCAGCCCCTCAGGGAAGCTCGGTAGTTCCTCACAGCTGGTCAGCAGGGGGCTGGGGTTTATTTGCCCTGACCTTTGGAGGCACTCAAGTTGGTCGCCCATGAATACAGGCACATGGTTGAACAGCGTTTCCCTTTGGAAGGATGTGGGGCGATGCCTGAGGAACAGGACCACGGCAACAAGACATCTGGTAACCACACATGCACGCGTCACAACCACACCGGTCACTGCAAAAACCGGTCCAGCTTCGCCTGAATCCGAGCGAAGCCGTCCCGGCCCAGGTAGTCGATGTGGCCGTCTTCCCACTTCCTCCTCTCTTCCTCCGGACTTGGCTCCCTGACCTTTTCCTCAATGGACATCGCGGACACAGAGACGGCCAGGCCGACCTGCGGAGAGAAGCCAACAGGAAGGGTGGTTGGCGTTGCCGGCCGTGGAGCAGGCCGTGTCTACAGCATGCATCCGCTCCGTGACTGCTCCCACCAGGGGCATCGGTTATCAGAGAGCCCGCGGCCAGCAGCACTTTCTCCACGACATAGTGCATGCTGAATCGAACATAGGACTCTTTGAAGAGCATGCTTTTTGCCTGTGGTCTTTGAACTTTTATACAACATGAGGTACATATGTTCACATTTCCCGCCAATTGCTTTTGGTTTCTAATGTTAGCTGCCCCTGAGTTTGTCCCGACTCGCAGCGACCCTGTAAAGAAGTGAATGAAATGCGGCCCCGCCCTGAGCCACCCCCCCCCCCCCCCTGGCTGTGGCTCAGGCTTGTCTGATGGACAGCATTTTCAGTGGCTGATTTTCAACAGTGGACAGCCAGGCCGTTCTTCGTAGTCTCTCTCAATCTGGAAGCTCCGCGGAGACCTGTCCAGCGTCATGGCAACACACAGGCCCCCCAGACAGACGGAGGGGGGGGATCTGTGTGGGGGCCTCCTGTGTGGAAGGCGAGGGTTCTCCCACTGACCCGGCACTGCCCGGCCTCCTAATTTCTATCCGATTGACCACTTTGTGCACGCACGCCCACAGCTGACTGAACGTCTTCACCCACCAAAACCTCGATATTCTGTGTGATAAAGAAGAGCCAAACCCACTGCCACTGAGTTGACTGCAACTCACAGCAACCCCCACTGGGTTTCCAAGGCTGTAAATCTTTATGGAAGTAGATGGCTTCATCTTCCTCCTGAGGGGCAGCCATTGGGCTTGAACCACTGACTTTCTGGCAAGCAGTCAAATGTCTTACCCATTACGCCACCAGAGCTGCTTAGTTTGTATGATTAAAAAAAAAAAAAACACCTCATTGCTGTCGAATCGATTCCAACTCATAGCAGCACCTCTTTGGGTTTCTGAGGCAGTATCTCTATGGAAGTAGATTGCCCAACTTTCCTTCTGAATTTTTTGTGGTAGTCAGTGTTCAAGGAAGAAAACTCACGTAAATTGAATCTCTGCCATTTGGAATTGCTTGGCCAGGGCAGTTAAACCATTTCCCTTTCAGTGGCAGGGCTTTTGTGTTCTATACTGACAGACATGACATGTAAACATACAGGTGTGCCAAGACACACGCACCTTCCTTGTGTTTAGTTTTCAAGTGACTCGACGAAAATAAACACGTTTGCTTAGAAAATTTCTGAGTGTTAGCAAAACTTTTACAATATGAATGAGCAGTAATGACAGACTCCCACACACTCAACCTGACAAAAGGCGTGTCTCAGGTCATGTGTGCTGGACACTTCGTTCCTGTTGGGTGCCCTCAATTCAGTGCCGACTCATAGAGAGCCCACGTCACCGATGACAGCTGCTCATGACGGTTTGTACGCTGTAACCTTTACGGAAGCAGGTGGCCACATCATTCTCCAGTGGAGTGTCCGTGTGGGTTGAACCGCCAGCCTTCCGGTTAGCAGGCAGGCGCTTAAGTGCTGAGCTACTAGGCCTTCTTAGAAAGAGGCCACTTTTGTTAGGTGCTGTAGTCTCTATGGGAGCACTTCACCACGTCTTAGCCCTGCAAAACTGGTGGGAGGGCTCACATAACCAACCGACCTTTTGATTAGGAGCTCTGTGGCGTAGTGCCTAAAGCACCTGACTGCTAACCAGAAGGCTGGCGGTTCAAACCCACCAGCCACTCCCCGGAAGGAAGGTTGGGCAATCTACTTCCGTAGTGATGCCACCTCGGAAACCCAAGGAGGGGTCGCTATGAGTCAAGTCCAGTCAATGGCAGTGAGTTTGGTTTGGGCTTTGCTTCCAGTGGGTTGAGCTTGGGCTTTGCTTCCAGGGGTGTGGTTTGGGCTTTGCTTCCAGGAGCTCTAGGGGCGTAGTGCCTAAGGCACTTGACTGCTGACCAGAAGGCTGGAGGTTCAAACCCACCAGCCACTCCTCGGAAGGAAGGTTGGGCAATGTATTTCTGTAGAGATACGACCTTGGAAACCCAAGGAGGGGTTCCTATGAGTCAGATCCGACTCGATGGCAGTGAGTTTGGTTTTGGTTTTTAACTACTTAAAAAGCAAAAGGCAAAATTAGATCGTGTTACGGGCTCAGAAGAAAGCCACAGTCTCTGCTTTCACCAAAGGCATCTAGGGACAGAAGGACGGCTAGGATCAGGACACCCGGAAGCGGAGAGGGCAGGAAGCGTTTGTCTTCCGTTTCCTTCTTAAAGACGCGACTGATTGAGGGCTTGATTTGCATGAAACCCTCCCTCTTGGTTTTTACAGCTTAATGTCCCTTCATTGCACAGAAGGAACTGTGGGGAATCAGCTTCCGGCGAATAACGTTTGCAGAAGAGATTTGAGAGAGAGGCACGGTCAGCCGCGGAGAAGCCCATCTGCCAGGGAAATGCGGGACAGACCGACAGAGGGCGTGCTGAGCGGCGGCCCCTCCTTTCGGAGAAGCCGGGCTGACCTTGTGTCAGTATCTGAGCATGTTTGCAGCCCCAGGGGGCGCTGTTGGCACGCGCTTTCATTAGGTGCCCAGGGCAGGGCCGGGCGGGGCAGGGGGATGGGATACCACCTCCAGCATGTCCCGTGGGGCTGGCTCCCTTGTGGCCTCAGCAGGGGGCGCCTGTCTGGGTGCCAAGGTGTCCTCCGATGGGCCGCTCTCACCGTTATCCACGGGCTGCTGGAGACATAAGCATTCTGTCCTTAGTGCATACTGCACTCCAGGGGGTGAGTTCCAGCCAGGAGCTGTTATCCTGGAGTCGACTTGCCCTACGGCACCCCCGTGTGTGTCACAAGAGGAACTGCACCCCAGAGGTTTTCTAGTAGATGTGGCTCTGGTGGCATAATGGGTAAAACATTCTGCAGCTCACCCAAAGGTCGGTAGTTCAAACCCACCAAGGGGAACAGTGAGGCAGTTGGCTCCTGGAAAGATTGACAGCCCTGGAAACAGGGTCACGGGGCAGTTCTCCTGTCCTCTAGGGGTGCGGCGAGTTGGAACTGACTCGATACCAAGTCAGTTTTGGTTTTTGGTCTTTTGCAAGTAGACCGCCAGGCCTTTTCTTCTGAGGTGACCCTGGGTGACAAACCTCCCAGCCCCTGGGTGGCAGTTCACCATGTACATCAGCCAGGGTCTCCTTGCTGGGACCTGCTGTGTGGTCCTGTCAGCTTCTGTGGAGCCAATTCCAACTCATGGTGGCCCCCGTGGGTCGGAGCAGGACTGTGCTGCGTAGGGTTTGCAGTGGGTGACTGGTCTGGAAGTACACTGCCAGGGCTGTGTGCCCACCTGCAACCTTGGGGTGAGCAGTCAGGTGCATTCACCATCTGACCACCCAGGGCCTCCTTGAATAGAAGGACCATTCCCTGATCCTTGTGGTAATACGGACCGATTAGTCATGACACTGGTACTCCCCAAAGGGAAGAGCAGGCAGAGGACAGAGTGTGATGGCCCATGGATGTGACACCCTCCCCCTCATTCAGTGGGCTCAAGCTCTTCCAGGAAATAAGAAGCCAGGAGAGAGGTAGACATGAGCAAATAGGACCCAGAAACTATACCGAGGGCGTTTCCGCCTCTGTGACGTCTGAGAATTGGGGGGAAGGTGGTGAAATGGGGTCACGCAGTACTCCAGCGGGAGTCCCAGTGGCTGGGCCACCTGTCACCTGTTATCAAGAACAAAGGGCAAAAGCAGGTTAAATGGCGTCAGGTCAGGACAGGGGTGCGTGTGCATACAAGCACCTTCTCCCCAAACGCGTCACGGAGCTGCTGCTGCATCCACCACGCAGGGGACGTGGAGGCTAAGCAGGGCTTGGCACACACGGCCCACACTCAGCTGCTACCCTAGAGCTGGGTGGTTCAGAGACACACAAGGTGACACAGAATAAAGGCCTGGCAGTTGGTTTGCAATGACAGCCAAGGAAACTCTCTGGACATGGGTTCTGCTCTGTAACACAGGGGCGCCAAGAACTGTCCTGGGCTTGATGGTAACTAACACCACGTGGGAGAGCAGTGTGCTGACTACTGCCTGTGTGTCAGACCCGACTCATAGCGACCCCTCCTTGGGTTTCCGAGGCAGTATCACTATGGAAGTAGATTGCCCAACCTTCCTTCCGAGGAGTGGCTGGTGGGTTTGAACCGCCAGCCTTCTGGTTAGCAGTCAAGTGCCTTAGGCACTGCGCCACCAGAGCTCCTGGAAGCAAAGCCCAAACCAAACCCCTGGAAGCAAAGCCCAAGCTAAACCCACTGGAAGCCAAGCCCAAACCAAACTCACTGCCATTGACTTGACTTGACTCCTAGTGACCCCTCCTTGGGTTTCCGAGGTGGTATCACTACGGAAGTAGATTGCCCAACCTTCCTTCCGGGGAGTGGCTGGTGATTGATAGAGTATCTATTAAAAAAAAAAAAGAAATCTATTGCTGTGTATGGTGCCGACAGTTAGTGTGCTCAGCCGCTAACTGAAAGGCTGGAGGTTCAGATTCACTGAGAGGTGCCTGGCAGTCGGCTACTGAAAAACCCGGCCACTGAAAACCTCTGGAGTACAGCCCCCTCTGCACACCCAGGGTCGCCAGGCATCCCAATGGCTTGACAGGAACGCAGCTGGACCGTGCAGAGTCCGAGGGTACGACCATGGTTGGCAGGGCTGTGACTGCGTAGGGCACTCCTGCATGGCCCCACACAGCCAGCCATGAGGTTGGTGGTTGACATCCACTCAGGTGCACAGAACGCCAGGCTGGCTGACCTGCTTCTGAGAGCTCACAGCCTTGAGAACCGTCCGGAGCCCATTCTCGACCGTGCACCTGGGAGGACCACACAAGATTGTCACCTCAAACGAGGCAGGCTGACAGCTGACGCTTACAAGCAGAGGTAGCCTCTGTGTGGAAATGACAGCTCAGAGCGGGCACAGTAACCCCAGTTACATGCGCACGTGGATACACAGCGGACGTGCAGTGCTGGGCTACACGACCCAGCGCATCTAGAACCACTCAGACCGCAGCTTCTCTGTGCATGATGGCTCCAAAGCTGCAGCACGGATTGCAGCCAGAGAGGGCAAAACCTAAAGAGAGTGTCCGGCATCCCAAGCACAGAGGAACGGTTTTTTCCACTGCCCGCAGTTGCTCAGGCTTGTAGACTACCCCTCTTGCCAAGGACCACTCACGAGGCTGGACGTGCAAAAATGGAACCGTCTATACTGCAAAGTCCTGGACAGCTCCCGAGAAGCTGGAACCCTGAAAGTTGGCAGCCCAAGGACAAGCAGGAGACTGGAGGCTGAAATTGGCAGCTCGCTCCCTCCTGAGGCAATTAAAGACGGACAAACCACGCAGGTGCCAGTTGTCGTACACCTAGCCACGCTGCACGGCGACCCTGCGAACAACAGAACCAACCACTGTCCGGCCTCGGGCCATCTTCATGGATGTTGGTGGGTTGGGGTGCACTGCTGTGGCCACTATGTCTGCCCACGTCACAAAGGGTCCCCTCATTCTCACTGACCCTCTAGTTTAGCAAACATGATGTCCTTTTCTTGTCGTGGGTCTTTCCTCACAACGTGCCCAAAGTCAGCGGGCTGACGTCTCCCCATCTTGAGTTCTAACAAGCATTTGGGCTATGTTCCTTTTAAGGTTGATCTGTTGTTCTCATGTCTGAAGACTGTCCAGTATTCTTCTTCTTCTTTTTTTTTTTTATATAGAGAAATAAAGTTATCTCAAGGAAATGGCTCCCACCCTTGTAGAGGGTGGCCAGTCCCAAGGACACAGGTCAGATGTCATGCTACAGGCTCCTCCTGACTCACGCAGCTGCAGAGGCTGACGGACCCGAAAGGAGCAGGCTGCTGGCTTCAGAGGCTGATGAATGTGGGGTCTGCAGGAAGAATGGCCGGTGGCGGGCCCCCAGGCTGCTAAGGCAACCTCCACCAATTGGCAGGCAACGTGGCAGGTCACAGGTTCAAGTCCAGGAACCAGAGATGAGGAGGAGCAACATGGAGGGTCTAGATGCAGCACCAAGCCAGAGCCAGTTCCCAGCATGGCCTTGTCTATATCAGCAGCAGGCCCCGCCCTGGGGAAACTCCCTGCCAGCGGACTGGCCGTTCACGCACCATCCCGGGGGAGATGACATCGCATCACATCACATCTCACCATGGGGTGACCACATCCCAACTGTAAGCCGCTGAGCGGTACATTTTTTTTAATGCCTTTCATCGAAACATAATTTATGTACAGGGAAATACACAAAACGAAAGTCCCATGGGTCAATGCTTTTTTTTTTTTTTTTTTTTTGCAGTGTTCCCTCCCCTCCCCTCCCACCCCGATAACCAACAAAGAAACTTTCCTTCCATGTTTAAACCTTTCCTTCACGTTTACAATAGTGGAGTGATGCAATATTTGTCCTTCTGTGACTGAACTATTTCAGCATAATATTCTCCAAGTTCATCCGTGTCCTATGGCGTTTTGCAGATTCTTTATTATTCCTTACATGCTCCGGTGGCATAGTGCCTAAGGCACTTGACTGCTAACCAGAAGGCTGGCGGTTCAAACCCACCAGCCACTCCTCAAAAAGAAGACTGCCTCCATAGAGATACCGCCTCGGAAACCCACGGAGGGGTCACTATGTGTTGGAACCGACTCGACGGCAGTGAGTTTGGTTTTTGAGTTTTTTATTTTATTCCTTAGGGCTCCATAGTATTCCATCGTGTGTATGTACCACATTTTGTTTATCCGTTCTTTGGTTGATGGGCACTTAAGTTGTTTCCATCTCCTTGCTATTGTGGACAGTGCTGCGATGAACATAGGTGTGCATAGATCTGTTTGTGTCCTGCCTCTTACTTCTCTAGGATATTTACCTAGTAATGGAATGGCTGGGTGAAATGGTATTTCTAATGCCAGCTTTTTAAGGAATCGCCATCCTGCCTTCCACGGTGGTTATCATTTACAGCCCCACCAGCAGTGTATGAGAGTCCCAATCTCTCCGCGTCCTCGCCAGCATGTGTTACTTACTGTCTTGTTGAACGTTGCTACTAGTGCTTGGGCCAGATGGTATCTCACTGTTGTTTTGATTTGCATCTCTCTCACGGCCAGTGATTGTGAGCATCTCTTCATGTGCTTGCTGGCTGCCTGAATACCCTCTTTGGTGAAGTGTCTATTCATGTCTTGTGTCCATTTTTAAATTGGATTATTTGTCTTTTTGTTGTTGAGGTGTTGGAGTTTTCTATAAATTTTGTACATAATCTTCTTGTCAGATACATTGTTTCCAAATATTTTTTTTCCCAATCTGTTGGTTCTGTTTTCACTCTTGAACAAGTCTTTGGAAGCACATAAATATTTCATTTTTAGAAAGTCCCATTCATCTAGTTTCTCTTCTGCTGTTTGTGCATTTTGGGTTATGCTTGAGAGTCTATTTATGCCATAAATTAGGGCCCCTAAAATTGCCCATTTTTTTATTTGATGAACCTTGTAGATTTAGGTAAAACATTATTTAGAATACATGTATTATTAAAATAAAACAAGATGTCCGGTGAACAGCAATTAAAACAACCACCAAGATCATAAAACAAAAGGAAGTGACAACCCTGATTTTCTTATTACCCACCATGTTTCTCTATCCAGCACACTGCAAGACAAAACACTTGGCTGAGAGACAACTAAATGGCCAATACCCTTCTTCTTAATGTGGTCCTTTACATGGAAAATGCATGGGACTTGCCCCTTTGTTTTTGGCAGCAGTCACCTTGCTCTCGGCCCCACCACCACCTTGTACACAAAGGGTGGACTAAGGCCTGCCAGCATGCTGCTCTCCCACAGGGCCAGGAATTTAGAAAACCCAGTCACTTTGGCCAGAGTTCCAAACAAACAAACAAAAAAAACAGACCTGTTGCCATCTAATCAATGCCAATCCCCGGTGACCCCGTGTGTGAGAGCTGCCCTGCCCCATAAGGTCTTCTTGGTAATGATCTCAGTGGAAGCAGCTCTCCAGGCCTTTCTTCCGCACCACCGCCAGGTGGGCTGGGACTTCTAACTTGAAGTTAGAGCACAAACCGTGGCTTTACCCAGGAACCAAGCTCCAGGAACATCACTCAGAATCAGGAATTCAAGACGTGGCCAGTAGGTGGCAGCAAAGCTGCATAATTCATCACAAAGACGCAGTAGAGGACATGGTAGGCTAATGAAGTCAAAGCGTGTTCCCTGTTGCATCCGAAGCATGGAGCTCCCACGCGTGTCAGTGTGCAAGTGGCTCCCTGGGGTTTCTAATGGCCGATTCCCCAGAAATGGACTGCCAGCAGTTTCTTCCTGGGGCCCTCAGTGTGGACTCAAACCTCTAACCTTGCCCAGGACAGAATTCTGTAAGGCCAGCCTCTATTTGAGTGGCCATAACAACAACAA